CCCATAACATAATGGGGAATAGCTAATAATTAGGACTCATAACAAAAATCCTTAATCCATTCGTGGGAAAAACTTTTTCCACAGCAAGCACTAATCCTTTTTTAACGTATAACTAGATGTGGTAATCATTCCAATAAAAAATGAAAGCTCGTTGCTTTTTCTTTCCCTAGAATTCGAGCAGCTAAGCTCTATCCCTTTATTAATTCAACCCAACGGAATTCATTTGTTCCCAGCCAACAATTCAAAGAAAAAGATTGGTCGGATCCAATATGAATGAAAAATTTTTTGAATTCACCGTTGATACGACATGCTGCTTTTTCCATTCATTCCTTTCTGGATCAGTCGTGGTCTTACAAACCCTACCGATGGTATGGATGAACCAATTAGTTCATAGAAATGTGTAAAAAATGGAGTCGCACTTAAAAGCCGAGTACTCTACCATTGAGTTAGCAACCCTAATAAAATTACAAACAAGGATCTGTATATCCAATCGCAATAAAAAAAAGATGGAATTCTATAAATAATAGAATCAAATGTTACATATTACATTATATTACAATACAATGAAAAAAAGAAAAAATGAGAATCAAAAATGATAGACGACTTGTTTAGTACAGTACTGTAGTTATTTGTCTATTAATATAGTTTTAAATTAGTATTATTTTTTTCATATTTCTATTTCAAGAAAAAAAACTTCTTGTTTGTATCAAACAAAATCAAAATACAATGAATCCACCATTTGATGAAGTAAAAAACCTATGTGACATGAGTCAATCCATCCATTGATTCACGATCAGATTATATTTGTTTGATACACTGTTGTCAATATTAGTGTTGAAAAAAAGAATACAATCGAGAAAACAAATAAAAAAATATTTCTATTCTCATTTTTAAATAGAAAATATTTCTATTTTAATTCATTCTATTCCAAATCAAAAAAGAAGAATGAACTAGAAAAAAAATAGATCAATCCGAAAGATCTATAGGATTCATTCTAGATACAACAAGTATTTTTGTATTGTGTATTGTATTCGGCTCAATCCTTTTAGTAAAAGATTGGGCCGAGTTTAATGGAAATTAATAGAACGAATGATTATTACTGGATTACAAAGTATCCATTGCTGGGAATTCAAATTTGATTTCCTTCCAGACTTCACAAGCAGCAGCTAATTCAGGACTCCATTTGCAAGCTTCACGGATAATTGCATTACCCTCGCGAGCAAGATCACGTCCCTCATTCCGAGCTTGTACACATGCTTCCAGAGCTACTCGATTCGCTACGGCACCAGGTGCATTTCCCCAAGGGTGTCCTAAAGTTCCTCCACCGAATTGGAGTACAGAATCATCTCCAAATATCTCGGTCAGAGCAGGCATATGCCAAACGTGAATACCCCCTGAAGCAACAGGGATAACACCTGGTAAAGAAACCCAATCCTGAGTGAAATAAATACCGCGACTTCTATCTTTTTCAATATAATCATCACGTAGTAAATCAACAAAACCTAACGTAATCTCCCTCTCTCCTTCAAGTTTACCTACTACAGTACCAGCGTGAATATGATCTCCACCAGACATACGTAAGGCTTTAGCTAATACACGAAAGTGCATACCATGATTTTTTTGTCTATCGATAACTGCATGCATAGCACGGTGGATATGAAGAAGTAGACCATTATCGCGGCAATAGTGAGACAGGGTAGTATTTGCAGTGAATCCACCTGTTAAGTAGTCATGCATTACGATAGGAACGCCCAATTCTCTAGCAAATACAGCTCTTTTTAGCATTTCTTCACATGTACCCGCAGTAGCATTCAAATAATGTCCTTTGATTTCACCTGTTTCGGCCTGTGATTTATAAATTGCTTCGGCACAAAATAAGAAACGGTCTCTCCAACGCATAAATGGTTGGGAGTTCACATTTTCATCATCTTTGGTAAAATCAAGTCCCCCGCGGAGACATTCATAAACTGCTCTACCATAATTCTTAGCGGATAAACCCAATTTTGGTTTAATAGTACATCCCAATAGGGGACGTCCATACTTGTTCAATTTATCTCTCTCAACTTGGATTCCGTGAGGAGGACCTTGGAAAGTTTTAACATAAGCATTAGGGATTCGCAAATCTTCCAGACGTAGAGCGCGTAAAGCCTTGAACCCAAATACATTACCTACAATGGAGGTAAACATGTTAGTAACAGAACCTTCTTCAAAAAGGTCTAAGGGATAAGCTACATAAGCAATAAATTGATTATCTTCTCCAGGAACAGGCTCTATCTCGTAGCAGCGTCCTTTATAACGATCAAGGCTGGTAAGTCCATCGGTCCACACAGTTGTCCATGTACCAGTGGAAGATTCTGCAGCTACCGCTGCACCTGCTTCTTCAGCCGGAACTCCTGGTTGAGGAGTTACTCGGAATGCTGCCAAGATATCAGTATCTTTGGTTTGATATTCAGGAGTATAATAAGTCAATTTATAATCTTTAACACCAGCTTGGAACCCAACCTTTGCTTTAGTTTCTGTTTGTGGTGACATAAATCCCCCCCCTACAACGCATGAATTAAGAATTATAGCAAGAACAAGGTCTACTCGACATAACTTAGGAGTTAAGAAAACCTTTTTACAAATGATCCATCAACTAATATTATCAATTAATCCGAATGGGTCATTGTTCAATTTTACCATGATATTTGATTTGGCAAATACATCATTATTCTATACTGTTTCATATGTATGGCGCAACCCAACCGTTTTTTTTTGAGTCTCTTATTTTTTTTTTTTTGAATTTTGGAATCTCATTTTCTAATCTAAATAATAAAAAATATACTCTTGACCTTGACAGTGATATATGTTGTATATGTAAATCCTAGATGTCAAAATCGGCAGAATTTGCCCAATAAAAAGAAAAATTGGTAAAAAGAATCTGCATAGTATAAATCCTATGCTGAGGAAAGAAAAAAGAAGGACCAATGAGATAGAAAAACGGAATCATAAACAAACAAAGTTCAGGTTCGAATTACATAGATAATATAGATAGTATTGTCTATAATCTAGAATGATAAACAAATGAAAGACTTTCAAAAGATTTCATCCAATTAAAATTTTCATAATGACTGGGTTGACCTTGAAAATTCACTCATTGAAATTTAAAAACAATTGAATTGGTTGGATGGTACCAAGAAAATCGATTATTAACTTACATTTATTCTTTTATATATTATTAAATATTAAGAAAATTAAGAATATTAACCGATCAACTTGCTTTGTTATCAAACAGTTTTTTCTTAATTTCAATTTTTTTTTTTCAAAAAAATGGATATTTTTTAATATGACAATAACTCCTCCTCCTTCTGATACTGAGGTTTCTGCACTTGAAAAAAAAAATCTGGGGCGTATCACGCAAATAATCGGTCCGGTACTCGATGTAGTTTTTCCACCAGGGAAGATGCCTTATATTTACAACGCTCTGATAGTTCAAGGTCGAGATACGGTTGGCCAACAAATTAACGTAACGTGTGAAGTACAGCAATTATTAGGAAATAATAGAATTAGAGCTGTAGCTATGAGTGCTACAGATGGTCTAAATAGAGGAATGGAAGTGATTGACACGGGAGTTGCTCTAAGTGTTCCAGTCGGTGGAGCAACCCTAGGTCGAATTTTCAACGTGCTTGGAGAGCCTATTGATAATTTGGGTCCTGTAGATACTCGCACAACATCTCCTATTCATAGATCTGCGCCTGCCTTTATACAGTTAGATACACAATTATCCATTTTTGAAACAGGAATTAAAGTAGTCGATCTTTTAGCTCCTTATCGCCGTGGCGGAAAAATAGGACTTTTCGGTGGAGCTGGGGTAGGTAAAACAGTTCTCATTATGGAATTGATCAATAACATTGCCAAAGCTCATGGAGGTGTATCCGTATTTGGCGGAGTAGGTGAGCGTACTCGTGAGGGAAATGATCTTTATATGGAAATGAAAGAATCCGGAGTAATTAATGAAAAAAATATTGCGGAATCAAAAGTAGCTCTAGTCTACGGTCAAATGAATGAACCGCCCGGAGCTCGTATGAGAGTTGGTTTAACTGCCCTAACTATGGCAGAATATTTCCGAGATGTCAATGAGCAGGACGTCCTTCTATTTATCGACAATATCTTCCGTTTTGTCCAAGCCGGATCCGAAGTATCCGCCTTATTGGGCCGAATGCCTTCCGCTGTGGGTTATCAACCCACCCTGGGTACTGAAATGGGTACTTTACAAGAAAGAATTACTTCTACCAAAGAAGGGTCTATAACTTCTATTCAAGCAGTTTATGTACCTGCAGACGATTTGACTGATCCTGCTCCTGCCACGACATTTGCACATTTGGATGCAACTACTGTACTATCAAGAGGATTAGCTGCCAAAGGTATCTATCCAGCAGTAGATCCTTTAGATTCAACGTCAACCATGCTCCAACCTCGCATCGTCGGTGAAGAACATTATGAAACTGCGCAAAGAGTGAAACAAACGTTACAACGTTACAAAGAACTTCAGGACATTATAGCTATTCTTGGGTTGGACGAATTATCCGAAGAGGATCGCTTAACCGTAGCAAGAGCACGAAAAATTGAACGTTTCTTATCACAACCTTTTTTCGTAGCAGAAGTATTTACCGGTTCCCCAGGGAAATATGTTGGTCTAGCAGAAACAATTCGAGGATTTAAATTGATTCTTTCTGGAGAATTAGATAGTCTTCCTGAACAAGCCTTTTATTTGGTGGGTAATATCGATGAAGCTACTGCGAAGGCTACGAACTTAACTTAGAAATGGAGAACAAATTCAAGAAATGACTTTAAATCTTTGTGTACTGACCCCCAATCGAATTGTTTGGGATTCAGAAGTGAAAGAAATTATTTTATCTACTAATAGTGGACAAATTGGGGTATTAAAAAATCATGCGCCTATTGCCACATCTTTAGATATAGGTATTTTGAGAATACGCCTTAACGACCGATGGTTAACGATGGCTCTGATGGGCGGTTTTGCTAGAATAGGCAATAATGAGATCACTATTTTAGTAAATGATGCAGAAAGGGGTAGTGACATTAATCCACAAGAAGCACAACAAACTCTTCAAATAGCAGAAGCTAACTTGAATAAGGCTGAAGGCAAGAGACAAACAATTGAAGCAAATCTAGCTCTCCGGCGAGCTAGGACACGAGTAGAGGCTATCAATATGATCTCATAACAAGTTGGTGCAGCCAAAAAATAGAAAAAAGATAGAAAATTACAATAAAACAATGGTGAGTAGAAAAACTTATTAGATACCGGAATTAATGGTATCTAATAAGTTCTACCAATACCTTACCTACTATTGGATTTGAACCAATGACTCCTGCCGTATGAAAGCAATACTCTAACCACTGAGTTAAGTAGGTCATTTATCATCCTAAATAAAAAAAGTAGCTGTCTATCAGATCAATGGATTATAAATGTTATATTACTTATAAACAATACAAACGCAATATAAATCAAAGAGATTGGATCATGTCATATTTATCTTGACAAGAATTTATTTATCGAATATGATCAAATATGTATCCAAAGCACAAGGGCTATAGCTCAGTTAGGTAGAGCACCTCGTTTACACATGCGCCAATGTTTTTTCATAGGAGTCCATCATGTAATTAAAAGAGTTGATCTTAATTGATAAATCGATGTCTTACTCCCGGAACAAAATAAGAGAACAATAGCCTGACAAAGGATTTAGACGTCAAATGGAATCCATAATGGATTTGAGATATTGATACGGTGAATACTTAATCTATTCAATGCTAGGCAATGAGTCTAGGGACCTCAAAAAAAATCTCTTTTCTTCCTATCTTATGAACTTTAAGGTGTATGAAGTTTCATTTCCTATTTGATATTTTTATTGAAGTAGGTTGATAGAGAGTCCATTTAACTTAAGTTGATCCAGGCCAGAAGCAGACCTACGTCAGGATAACCTTCTTCTTTGAAAAACTTTGGTAGTGCTCTTAGATTTTGATCTAAATAAGAAATCAGAGCACAGGGAGTCATTTCCTTTTTCTTTGTGTAAAGAAAAAAGATGGTAGACTAATTGATATTTCTATCAGTTAATGAAAAAGCCCAATGCAAAAAAAATGCACGTTGGGTCTTTCAAACAATTCAAATCATTTTGATAATAATAAATAATAGTTTGATGTGTTTTACCGAGAAGGTCTACGGTTCGAGTCCGTATAGCCCTAATATTACTACCGATACTACTCAGATTTAGATTTCTTATCTAATATCTGTCATTACAAATATATATGTACTAATACTATATGTACTAGATTAGTACTATATTGAATACTCCATACTAGTAATACTACTAGTATAAATATACTTTCAATACTTTTTGTAATAGAAAGAATGAATAAAGTAATTTCTATTCGAATAGATTAATAGTGGATAGAATAATATGAGTATTAGTATACTCAGATAATAATCTCAATTTTATTAGAAAAAATGTAAACTTAAGAAAATACAAAGCATTTCTATTTAGATTCTATTAATGAATCTAAGAATTTGAAAATTTCAATTCAAATCGACTCAGAATTAATATGAATCCAGTATATTTTCCCCATTCCTAGGAGGACATTTATGTTTTTGCTTTATGAATATGATATTTTTTGGACATTTCTAATAATATCGATCTTTATTCCTATTTTGGCATTTCTAATTTCTGGAATTTTAGCTCCAATTAGGAAAGGGCCAGAAAAACTTTCTAGTTATGAATCCGGAATAGAACCGATGGGCGATGCTTGGTTACAATTTCAAATCCGTTATTATATGTTTGCTCTAGTTTTTGTTGTTTTTGATGTTGAAACAGTCTTTCTTTACCCGTGGGCAATGAGTTTTGATGTATTGGGGGTATCCGTATTTATAGAAGCTTTCATCTTCGTGCTTATCCTAATTGTTGGTTTAGTTTATGCATGGCGAAAGGGAGCATTAGAATGGTCTTAATTCTTGAATATTTAGACAATTAAACAAAACATTGAGACAGTTATGAATTCCATTGAGTTTCCCTTACTTGATCAAAAAACCAAAAATTCAGTTATTTCTACTACATTAAATGATCTTTCAAATTGGTCAAGACTATCTAGTTTATGGCCGCTTCTCTATGGTACTAGTTGTTGCTTCATTGAATTTGCTTCATTAATAGGATCGCGATTTGACTTTGATCGTTATGGACTGGTACCACGCTCTAGTCCTAGGCAGGCAGACCTCATTTTAACAGCGGGCACCGTAACTATGAAAATGGCTCCTTCTTTAGTTCGATTATATGAGCAAATGCCCGAACCAAAATATGTTATTGCTATGGGAGCCTGTACAATTACAGGAGGTATGTTCAGTACCGATTCTTATAGTACTGTTCGGGGCGTGGATAAGCTAATTCCTGTGGATGTATATTTGCCGGGCTGTCCACCTAAACCGGAAGCCGTTATAGATGCTATAACAAAACTTCGTAAGAAAATATCTCGAGAAATCTATGAAGATCAATTTAGTTATCAACGAGAGAATAGGTGTTTTACTACCAACCACAAATTTTATGTTGGACGCGGTACTCATACCGGCAATTATAATCAAGGATTATTCTATCAACCATCATCTATTTCAGAGATAACCTCTGACACATTTTTGAAATATAAAAAAGTTCAGTATCCTCCGACGAACGAAAAAGTGAATTAAACAGGATCCTTTTGTACAAAATACAATAAGAAATAGCAAGCAAGTCAATCTTCAAAAATTTCATTGTAATGTAAATAAATGGTAAATACTTATACCAATCTTATAAAAAACTCGGGAGAAGTAAAAAAATGCAAGGTAATTTGTCTGCTTGGCTAGTCAAACACGGAATAGTTCATAGATCTTTAGGTTTTGATTATCAAGGAATAGAGACTTTACAAATAAAGCCCGAGGATTGGCATTCGATTGCTGTTATTTTATATGTATATGGTTACAATTATCTACGTTCCCAATGTGCCTATGATGTAGCACCAGGAGGACTATTAGCGAGTGTCTATCATCTTACGAGAATAGAGTATAGTCTAGATCAACCCGAAGAGGTATGCATAAAAGTATTTACCCCAAGGCAAAATCCGAGAATTCCTTCTATTTTCTGGGTTTGGAAAAGTGCAGATTTTCAAGAAAGGGAATCTTATGATATGTTAGGAATCTATTATGATAATCATCCGCGTCTGAAACGTATTTTAATGCCCGAAAGTTGGATAGGATGGCCTTTGCGTAAAGATTATATCGCCCCCAATTTTTATGAAATACAAGATGCTCACTAAATGATAAAAATCAGAAAGTAATCTGAACTTCGACAACCCCAGATATTAAAGAAATATCTGTATGTACATTTTCTTTTTCTTATAGATTAGACAGAATAATAGAGGTTTCATTCCTAATCTTATTCTAGATTAGGATGGTATAAATAAGAAAATTGAGAAATAAAAAAGACAATAATATAGGGATTAATTGAGATTCCAAAATTGGATGGAGCTATACTTATTTAGGACGAGCCAATAGGATGAACTGAAAAAGTTCTGCATCATTAACTATGTAAGATGCACATCAGCATCAATTCATACCTTTTTTATTTTCATTATAGATATTTTTATTTTCATTATATATATGATATTTACAACTTTAGAGCATATATTAACTCATATATCGTTTTCCGTGATATCAATTGTTATTTCAATTCATTTGATAACCTTATTAGGCAATGAAATCGTAGGATTATATGATTTGTCCAAAAAAGCCATGATAATAAGTTTTTTCTGTGTAACGGGATTGTTAATTACTCGTTGGTTTTTTTCGGGACATTTACCATTTAGTGATTTATATGAATCCCTAATCTTTCTTTCATGGGGTTTTTCAATTTTTCATATGGTTCCTTTTTTTAAAAAGGAGAAAAACCTTTTAAGTACAATAATTGCACCAAGTGTTATTTTTACCCAAGGCTTTGCGACTTCGGGTCTTTTAACCAAAATGCATCAATCCGTAATATTAGTACCCGCTCTACAATCCCATTGGCTAATGATGCACGTAAGTATGATGATACTGGGCTATGCAGCTCTTTTATGTGGATCATTATTATCAGTGGCTATTTTAGTCATTACGTTTCAAGAAGTCATCCAAATTCTTGCTTTTACCAAGAATTTGGATTCTTTAAAAAAATCAGTTGATTTTGTTGAAATCAAATACATGAATAGGAATGAAAGAAACAATGTTTTACGAAAAACTTCTTTTTCTTCTTCTATAAATTATTACAGGTCTCAATTTATTCAACAATTGGATCGTTGGGGTTA